CCCCCCCCTCCCCCAAACATACCAACACTTACTAGCGCACGATAGCTAAGAATTAAACAAATGAGTCTTGAGCAATCGCTTAATCATATCAAAATTTATTATTTCTCTGAGATCCTTGGTCCGAAACACGACAAACTTTACTCACCAAAAGATCTTCATTTTATTCTAGGGGCTAAAAGGATATTGCTTTAGTATAATCGTATATTAACAAAATTATTTTTGAAAGGCTAAAAAATAACATGCAAGGCATCGTGGTGAAATCAGACGTTCGTCAAAACGTTGAAATGAAAGAAAAATAGCATTTTTATCGGATCTTTTTTTGTGTGACTCAACTCCTTTTATGTTTACTAAAATATGAGGCAGCGTGGTGGAATCCGGCTCTCGTCAATTTTTGGGCATGTAGAGTTATTGGTATCACCTTAAAGCTTGTTCACTTGTCTTTATTTGGATGAAAAAAAAATCCATTTATCTTGAATACGAGTCGAGATATTTGCGAAAGAAGTAGGTGGGGGTCACCTGTTTTCAGAGGTAAAATTAGTGAGAAAATGGCCGTCAAAGATTAGTTATTTCCTAAGCTTAAGAGTCCGTGGTAACTGAAAATTTACTTTTTTGTGCCTTTGATCAACGTTTTTCAGAAAAATCCACACAGAAATGAGTTCTTTAATGGGTATGAATGGTATTGAGCCAAAAAACAAAAATTTGATAAAAATTCACAAACCTGCGGAAAAAGGCACTATAAAAATCACTTTGATTATTTTGACGAGAGCCTGATTCCACTGCGCTGCCTCAAAAATATATTTCTGAGTCGTCATCAAGATATTCAAAGAATTGCATTCTAAAAAGCTCAAATTATTGTGAAACTCAAAATTGTTTACGTCCAATTTCTCTTAACTATGTAAGGAGCAGATAGAAGTCTGTAATTCTAGGGTAGTGGTACGTCGTCTCTCTGCCCAATATTGCGGTTTTCCTAAATCATGACGAGCACTGGGGTGAATGGGAAATTCTCAAACCTGATAATCTTTCTGTTATTTATGTCCGCCCC